TGATGATGTTGGTGGCATAAGGCCTGAGGATGAGTCAATATCTGAGAGGCCAGTGTGAGCCAGGTGTAGAGCTGAGGTCTTGAGGCGTCGTCATGGCCACTAACCACCTGTCAGAGCTAAAAAAAACTCTGCACACAATTGTCTCAAAGACCTTTTCAACCAATCCAGTCTCACGGCAGTTTCATGAATTGGTCACGGAATTAAAATCGAGCTTGATTCGTGACACAAGTCACATATACAGTCCAGTTACGCCCTCTTGCATATTGTAAAAAAACAACACAGGAGGCTTGGATGAGCTTAACTTTGTTGAATAGATGCTAGAAAAGTGAGAACAGTTATCTTAACATGCATGACCTATGGTATATAAACCGCAGACAGACACGTCCACGGGTCATGTGTGCCAAGACAAGCTGTTGGCTAAATAATGCATCTTTCTATTAAACATCTTCCTGGATGATTAGGAAGCTTTGCTCCTCACACCAGCCATACATTATTGATTGCTATCCCCAAGCTAACACGCATCAAAGAAATGTGGTTTGCAATGTCGAAGCGGATTTAAAAAATGACAGCTAATGGCGTCTTCACTTAGGCTCAAGGGCGTTAAGCTGAGTGGCAGAGTATGTTTGCAGAGTGTACTATACAAAATGGTCATCTTAAGCGCTTTAGAACATGGTGGCTGCGTAATACGTCAGGTGATAAGGATTTCACTGAGATAAAAATGATCATGAAACCACTGTTCACTGTCCTCATGGGAAATAGTGTACCTGTATATATACTATATTATTTATATCACTGAGAAATGGCAGCTAAGTACACACAATCTTCACCAGTGAGTGCTCCTTGAAAGTTTTTCTCACTGTAGCAAAAAAACAACAACCACCCACTTGAAACTCTATCTGTGCATTTGAGTGTTTTCTTGAAAAGGTTATTGCCTTTGTGATGATGGTTTATGGAGAAACCTTCCGCTGAAAGCAAAAGTAACAGTTTGCTTTCAGAGACACGGCTGTGGTGAAGCTGATGTATGTAGCTGCCAGAGAATTGCATGATTAGAAGGTCAATATAGCCTGAAACACGCTCACGCAAGAATTGAAATGGATTTCAGGGTCAACATCAAATCATCACAGCTATTATTACTAAAGCAGAGCGACACTCATTACACATTTGCAGTGAATAAGTACCTGCTGATCATCTATAATGATGTGGCATTGTCTCACTTGTGTAAAGAAAGGCAAATATTATTCAAATAGGATATTATTTATGTTTAGACAATCTGTTAAAGCCTCTCATTACAAGAGTTCATTTGTTTTTTGAGCTTATGACTGACTTGTTTCACTGACATTCATTTCCTGGAGTCTTGCCGTAACTTTTTCTACAACCACTGGATGCATAACCCCACCCTTATACTAATCTAAACCTTAAACCTGCATCAGTCAGTTATTGTTGACCACCGTGGGGCAGAACTCCACAACAAGCTAAATGTCACAACATGGAGATGAGGCAACATCAATTGTGTTTCTGACCAGCTAACAAATGTAAACCCAATATTCACATCTCTTTTTAACTCTACAACTATATTTACAACTCTTGAGGGAAATATCTGAATTAGGTTGTGCCAGCTCTTCCTAAATCCATTACTAAGTAAACTAGAGATTCAAATTTAAGAAAGTTCCAGCTAGAAAAAGGCGTTTGTGATGTTTTGTGATGTTTGTGAGGCTTGGGTTTGGGTTTATTAAAGAATACGTGCGGTGCAGATTAGCTCTCATGAAAAATAGGTAAATTTACAGGCCGTTAAACAATGAGCTGTGGCTTTAACTTCCCCCCCCACCCCCACACACACACACACACAATGGATTATAGTAAGTGTGAGTGGCAGGATTGTTCAGATGTTAAATCGCTGTGAGGTTTGAATGTGAAGCAATCAACAGAGCCATGACTCATCCCATAACTGGAATCAAACATGTCAACTAATGGAATCATTCTTCAAAACCAGTCTGCATGGATTTATCACAGCTTGACTTCCGCAATTACTGCTGCTGTCTCCAGAACCCCGATGCCACATGATGTCGGCAACAGCTTGGTTCAGACTGAATAGGCATTGCTGCTGATGGAAATGTCAGCATTTCACAGCCTGTGGTCAATTGAAAAAAAAAAATCTATTGAGTCTCATTCAAAAGTATAGTTTCCACTGGGGTCAAAGATCTTACTACGGCCAGAATTGGCTTTTAAAGAACCACTGTAGAAAATCAATGTGGTGGGCATCAAATATTATTTTCATGAAAACAGATACAGGAAAACGTAATATAAACTAACCACAATTTACAATATACCATAAAGATAAACAAACAATATAGACATAAACAATATACCACATTGAGAGATGTGTATCTCCCAGCACAAAATAGCAGAAGTAACATAAGAACATAGCAGAGGAAGGATGGATGAGGTGCTGTGGGAGAGTAGGAGTAAACAGGGGAGATGATTGTGTCTGCCTTGCTGCTATTTGGAGCTTTTAGTCACCATCCAGTTCATCGACTGGACCTCGACAGGACAGCCAATCACACGAGAGCAAGCCAAAGAACTGAAGCCTCTTTTAGCTCACAATCAACACCCTGCAGATGTTGTGACAGTTGGACACAGCTCACATACAGTAGTCGTTGGATATGTTGACGTTGTTTTTGATATAGGGTTCTCTAAATTGACTGCAGGTAAAATGTGAGAAGGGATTGTTTTGTTTTTCTTATTCGACCCACAACAATTGCTGCCTGTTAGGGAAGACATGTGAGCACACACTGTAAAACCAGACAAACATTGTGAACTGAACCATGTTTTTTTATTACCTGAACTCCCGACACATTCCTAAATATCTGAGGTGTTTCTCATAAGCCCTGTAGAGGACTATCATTTTGTTGACAGCGAGATTGCCAGGGGAAAAAATGACTGTTTGCTGCTAAAATCTCTCCGAGCATTGGTGTGAGACAGGTGTGTGCAATCTTTGAATTTGCAGTACCAACTGGCCATCAAGAAACTGACTCTCAATGGTAAACTCCTACAAAAATGTTTTTACTTTAACCTCCAACTTTACATCCACCTCTTACAGGCTCTCTGATATCGATCAGAATCCAGACTGAATAAATGTGTATGAGACACCGCGGGCTGCAGACCGAAGATTGTTGATGCTGCCATGCACGATATATATTTTACTGGGAGCTATTCCCAGCCCTTTCTAATGAAAGCAATCACAGAGAGCAGAGAGAAACACATGGTGTGACTTCTTCTATACTCACGGCAACATCATGTATGGCAGGTTAATGATTAATAGATTTTTTAGCAAGGACGTTTTATTTTTCAATTTACAAAGCCAGAAATGTTGGTCTGATTTATATTAGATTTGGATTTATTTATATATTTTTTATTTTTTCATTTTAAAACTCTTAATTTTAGATAATCTTTATCTCTTCTAGCTATGCAGAATCCTACCTGAGGTAAAAAACTGATTTTACACTTATGAGTTTATCATATAAACTAAATGTATCTGCTAGTTTAGGTCGAGGTGAGAGCTTGATATATGAGTGCACATGTATTCACTCTGATTTTAAAATTATAGAATCCATTTAACTTGCCACTTTTAATTTGCTCTGACATGACTGGTATGAACGTATAGCATGCGTCATTTCAGCCTTTTTGTTCTTGGAGGTTAGTTTAAGGCAAGACAATAAGGGGATAAAGATAATTTAAGAAAGGTACAGTTTATGATGTCCTGGCTGAAAGTCCATAAGGTGGACACGATAAAAACATAGTATAAAAATATAATACAACCCAGAACAGTAATAAATACTGTGCTGTGTTTGCTATATTGAGTACAGTTTAAGAGCTGGGAGTCTGAGCCGGAGAGGAGCTCCCCCCACACAAATACAATTGTAATCCAGTTCAAATCTATGAACTATGGCCTCAGGAAACTGAACATTGCCTTCTTACACAGAGTACTGCGTAACCCTTAATCAATACTCTTTGTGATGATTGAATCAATTTCTTTAAATACAGCATGAGGACTTCAAGTGTGTGGCCTGAGAGAGTATTCAGTGTTACTTGAAAAGCTGCAGCCATCCATCATCAGACAGAATAAGGCCTTGACAAGCGGAACATGAGGATGGAGAGACTATGAGGTGAAGGACAGTTTTTTTTTTTTTTTTTTGTTTTAGAAAAAGCAAGATTCAAACTATTTAACTCTGCGTGTGGAGCACAGGTGGGCAATCAGACAGCAGCATATTGCCAGGTGGCTTCATCTTCCCCGGGTTGACAATAGAAGTCATTTCTAAAGCCGGTTCCACCCTGGGGAGAGCGGCGTCCAGGTGAGCCGGGAGCAGAGCACAACAGATGCTTTGAGAGGAAGGAGGACGGACGTAAAACACTGCATTGATCAAAATCTGACCCGGTCAGAAAATAGAAGTTTACACAACACCCTCAGATAATATGAAGGATTTGATGTTTGGACTATACCTTTTACGAATAAAGATAAAATGACTTTCAGTTAAATGAATTTAAGTAACATTTAGATTGTGACTATTTATGGGGGGGGG